ACTCCGTTACGTCTTCTCCTAACTCGCCGTTCTACGGCGTTTCCGTTCCTCCTATCGATGAGATCGAACCTCGGTGCGATCGCCCTCGATCGGGCCCCTGGACGATTGGGGACGGTCTCCTCTAAACATAAAGTCCTTTCTCGAGACAAAGCATCTCGAGGTCAGCTCACTGGACGCCAGCGGTATACCACCGACCGGGCGAGAAAGAGAGGCGGAACTCTCCTCTTCTTTATGAACAGATTTGGGTGTAGCAGCCATAACTATGGCGAAGCAAGGGAAAGGAGATGAAAACTTAGGCGAGCAAGCGCTCGTTCGATTATTTTAGCCCAAGGGCCACCCGGGTCCGAGTGTGCCCTCGCTCAGGGACTATCTATAACGCCTTAGGGCTATCTTCATTTTAAGTTCAAGCAAACTCTCACTTGTGAACTATTTGTAAAGGCCTAAGGGCTATCTTTATTTTCAGATGATCAAGCGAACTCTCCCTCGAGGACTATCAACGAGGCCTAAAAATGCTAAGCATTAAAGAAAATCGAGACCCCGTTCTCACTCAATTCGGACTCAGAAGTCCAGGCGACCTAAGTTTGTATCTGACCAATCCAGGCTTAGTCCGAGGGATGACAAAGAATTTCAAGGAATATCATATTTACAAATCGAGAAGCAAAGGGATTACTATGTCCGGGTCCAGTATTCGGACCGACCGATAAAGTCATACACTTGGGTTTTTTACAAACGCAGGCAAAATGGAGTTCAACACAAGTCGAAGGCAAATTAAAGAAACTTTTGTATTAATCAATGGCAATTACAAAAGCCCACGAGGGGTCCGTACACAGAAACAAAGAAGCAAAGAACAACAGCTACAAGGCCTAATCTATTTCGAGGGTATATCTTCGGAACGACATCTGCGAGAACCGTTTCGGGGACCCAATTCGATCTTCAGAGCGGGCCTTTCCCACTCACAATTTCCAGCACTAAGACACCATAGCTAAATACATCTGACTTTACTGAGTAGACCCCATGCACAGCATACTCCGGTGAGAGGTAGCCACTGCATAAAATATATGCAGAAAATAGCATTATCAATAGGAAAACGTACTATGATAATCTCAAGGTTCTTCTATTCCAGTTTTCAACTACTCAGTAAAAAATCATGTTGAGATTCTTACTATGTTCCAACTACTCGGTGTGTCTTGGCTCCAAACTTATCGTCTTCACAACTTTTTGCTATGCCAAAGTCTGATATCTTTGGATTCATGTCATTGTCTAGTAAAATATTGTTAGCTTTCAGGTCCCTGTGAATGATCCTCAACTGAGAATCTTGATGCAGATACATAAGCCCCCGAGCTATCCCGTTGATGATGTGAAAGCGCTTAGGCCAGTCTAACACCCTGCTTCCTGTGTCATCTGCCAAAAGTTTCATAATTGGATCACTAATACACACCAATCAGGTAAAAATGAGAGTGGCATTAAAACATCAAACTCTTCCGTTATGGTAAAAAGAAAAACATAATTTTGGTACCTTCGGCTCATCTAATCTTAGTTCACAGTTCTCTTACACTATTTTCCTGCTAGATGCGATTAAAGGAAGAGATCAGGTACTCATATAGGGCATCGTTTAACTGAAGTGCAAATATTACGCAAAATATTGGTCTTAGAAATCCTTACCGAATATAAATGAATCAAGACTTCCATTTGGCATGTACTCATAGATCAACATTTTTTCTTCTCCTTCAATGCAGCATCCAAGAATCTTCACCAGATTTCTATGCTGAAGTTTCACTATATACATCACTTCATTCTTGAACTCGTCTTGTCCTTGTGTGGAAGTCTTAGATAGCCGCTTCACAGCTATTTCCTGTCCTTGTTCAAGCATGCCCTAAACATCAAATCTCTGCACGTTAAACTTTTTCAATACCTAACATGAAAGTGAAAACCATGCAAGACTGTTGTATGCTTCCAAGTAAAAGGTAGAAGCACCAAATTTGAAGAATTGAGCAATCATAATAAATCCAATCAAGTTCAGCTGTTGTTCGTAAAACTCCTCCAACACATCTTAATTGCACTATATTTCTCTTACCAAATTAGGTTAAATTTGGGCGGACTAAGCAAATTATATATCCTCCAAAACCATAAAGTTGTTAAGCCATTCCTCTTATTAGATATTAATCAGCACATATTAGAAGACACGTTTTCAGAAACTTTTGGACTGACTCTGAAACATTTTGGATATTTTGAAGTACATGAATCAAAAGATCTTCCACTAAACCCCCTGTCCTCCATTTGTTGATGAATTAGCATAAATGCTCTCTTTGCTCTCCAAATGTCCCATTTGGTAGAACAAACCTTTTATTTTCAGTCACCTTATATCGAAAAAATCTAAAGTTACAGTCAGTCTTCCAGATTCTTGATATGCTCTATTATGTGGGCCGTTAATTGCATACCTCTACCTCCACAAAAGGTAGGGGTAAGGTCGGCATACACACTACTCTCCTCAAACCCCACTTTGTGGGATTACACTGGGTATGTTGTTGTTGCTGTTGTTGTTAATTGCTTATATCATGTACAAAACTGCAAAGCTATAAGTGGTTACCTTGTAAACAGGTCCATAGCCACCCTCTCCTATTTTGCTCTCCTCTGAAAAGTTGTTCGTAGATTTAGCTATCGTAGATAAGTCAAACAGTGGTAACTCAAATTCTTCACTGCGGTTTCCATTGTGGTAATCCATCTTGTAATTGCCATTGCACCCCCAAAATCCTGCCAAATACCAATATACCGGATTCGAATTCAGTTTTGCAAATACTAGACAAGGAGGATATTTCATTTCACTTTTAATTGATTTTGAATTCCTCTACAATATTTCATTTCACTTCTAATTGAGTTTGAATTCCTCTACTATTTCAAATTCCAAACAAAATGACCAGTTGACGTTACCTTTCTTTTTCTCTGAAGCTCGCTTCCTTCTTCTGAGGAAGAACACTAGGCTTAGGAATATCAGAACCGTACCAGCTGATAATGGGACAATCCAGGCAAGAAGTTTTCCTTTGTGTCCATTTGATTTATCCTGATTAGCTGCAAGTATTCAATCCAAGTATAGGTTAATCAGTCCGACTTTTTCCATCAGCTGGTAAGAGAGGATTACATTATGGAGTTATCAAGGTTCTGCAAGATGCTATTAGTTTGGAACTGCAAAAGTAAAAAGGATGCGGCAACTGATTTTAAACAATGATTACCGCAACCTTTAAAAGCAGTGCAAGTCTAATACTGTCAATGTGCTTTTTCCCAAGTATAAAGCTCTTTAAATTGTCCAGATATGATGTTCACAGGTTCAGCATTAAATTCATTCTAAATCATGTTTTCTTGTACCAGTGACTAAAGTTCATGGTCTTTGTTCTGTTAAATAGTGTATTAAAGTACATCATGTTTATAATCATTGTCACTGTTCCGAATGTAAATTCAGATATGCTTTTATCCAGGGTCCCTGCAACTCATACATTTTACTAAAAAGGCAGCTCGGTGCACTAAGCTCCTGCTATGTGCAAGGTTTGGGGAAGGGCTGGACCACAAGGGTCTATTGTACACAACCTTAACCTGCATTCACGGCTCGAACCCCTGACCTCCTGGTCATATGACAGCAACTTTACCGGTTACGCCAAGGCTCTCCTTCCAACTCATACATTTTACTGTCTTTAAGAAATCAATCACAAACTATAATCACTCTTTTTTCAGCAATAAACTTACCTAATTCAGAAGCAGCCATTCTAATGTAGATATCTTGCCCTTCGTTGGCTAGCTGTCGAATGTCAAGCAGATCTTCAAACCAAAGTAAGCAGCCACTTCCTCCATTGCGTATGTCAAGATTCGAGTAAGCCATACAAGAGCAGTTCTTCAAGCAAATATTCTTACACTCCTCAAGGTTCATACTCGCATTGAACCACGAATTCAGTGTGTCTGGTAACTTGAGTTTCGAATACTTCAAAAACACATCTCCCTTGAGGCAATTCAGTTCAGTACTCCTAACACACCCACTTGACCAATCCGCTTTCTTCCAATCTTCAGGAATTTTAGGCATAAACTTATCTAAACATCCACACACCGGAGAATTCAGACTGTTACAACTACCATATCCACCACATAACCTATAAGTATCACAATTATCTGTTGGTAGTGAAAGGTAAAGTGCCCAACATTTATTCCTATCGCCCCAAGTCCAACGTTGCACTGCACCATTCTGATTCAATGTAAACCTTGTAACAACTGAAGCTAAAAGCTGATAACTAAAATACACCTCTTTCTTAGTTGAAAACACACCAAATGTATAAAATTGACTTTCTCTTGAGTTTGTTGCCCCACTAAACCTTAATCCATTCCATGGTCCAGACTTGTAAATAACATTTGACCCTTTCTTCAAAATATTTTGTGGATAACCAGAAGGATCACAATGATATGTATAATCACCCGGAGCAGGATCCTCCTCATTTTTCCAAGATGACAAGTATATTTCTTTACCAGTTACAAAATTAAACCCAATTTTCATACCAGGTAAAAGGGTATCAGTAGGATAATCAAAACTCTGCCAAAGAAAACTTCCAACTTTATCATCATCAACATCAGCTTCTTTAACAACAAGATTTCCAGAATTAAGCAACTTTGCAATAGGATTTTGCACAGATCTTGAGGTATTAGTTGACCATACGATGTGGTTAGTCTCATTAACTATTACAATTACTCCTGGCTTAATAACTTTTACTGTACCTGATGTATTACTTAAAGGAGCTTCTCTATTGGCAACCCACACAACTGTAGTAACAGAAATATTCTTATACCAAATACCAAAATACCGAAACTTAGAATTACCTGGACTGAAGAACCCCATTTCGAAACTTCCACCAGATGAACTAATATTGAGTTCCCCATCTTTGAGAAATTGAGTTGTTGTTATAGTATCTGTAGCACCTAAAATTTGATAAATAGAAAATAAACAGAGGAGGAAGAAGAGTTTAAAACCTTCGTTTGATGTTGCCTTCATTCTTTGAAAGCTAAATAAATGCTGCTGCTATATTTTGTTTCTGTTGTAACATCCAAATTTGGAAATTTTCCATTTTTGGAGCAGAATAAAAACTTGTTAAATTATTAACTGCAGGTTTGGTCGTCGAGTTGCCAAATTGGCCATCAGAGGAAAAGTCTTTAAGTAGTCGCAGACGTTTAGTCGTCAAATGATGCTTGCATCTTCACACTTTACTTTCTTCATTTTTAAATTGTGAAATGCTGAAATTTGACACACATTTTTGAAATAATCAGTTCAAGTCAAAAGTGTTTGGTTTATTTAAAAAGTACTTAAACCAACCAAACCAGATATTAATGCAAATTTTATCAGTTTTGCTTTTTGTCAATTTTTTTAAGTTTTTGAGATCATTATGACTCTCTTGGGTTTATTCGCTGTTGGAATAAACACGATGTTGTTGCCAAAAAGATCTTATAATCTGTTTGGCCGAGTTTCNGTGGAGCGGGTTGCACGCCGCAACAATAGTGATTATGGAGCGAGTTGCACGCCGCAACAGTTATTGAGGCTATGTGTTTGTAATTGAGTATTGATTCCTTGTTCATTGTGAACCTAAGTTGTTTTAGTTGTTACTCTTGATTGCTGTTAATATTGTATCTCCCCTTAGCATGTCTCCCCTCCCATGTTGTTAATTACTTGGTATTCCATTTCCGCTGTATATTTATAACTGTACAGGTTTATGTGATGTCCAGTCTAGCCTCGTCACTACTTCGCCGGGGTTAGGCTAGACACTTATCAGCACATGGGGTCGGTTGTGCTGATGCTACACTTCTGTGCATTTTTGCACAGGTCCAGGTTTTGAGGAACAACAGCAGCAGTAGTTCGGAAGCAGACGATTCATATTCACGAGACTGAGGTAGCCTTGCAGGCGTCCGCAGGCCCGACGTCTCTTCTCATTGTTTTCGTTTAGACTGTTGCCTCCTTGTTTCGAGACAGACAGCTGTTATATTTCTTTCAGACCTTTGTATTTAGTTTATTCTTAGAGGTTCGTGAGTAATGTGACACCAAATCTTGGGTAGAGGTTGTTTTGACTATTCCGCGTTTTAAATTCATCATTTTAAGACAGACTTCCGCTATTGTTCTTATTAGACTTTATGTTCTATATTGATGTTATAAACTGTTAAAGATAATTGCTAGTGATGGAAAGGTAATTAAGTTGGCTTGCCT